AAAATACACTGATGATATATAACCTTAACAATGTCAATATATTATATAATTTTCTCAATGGTTTTGGACAAACTGCAACATTGTGACCCTCTGCAGGACAATCATTTATAATTAGATGCTTCAAACATATTAAAACAATTGTTAAAAAGTTCTAACAACAATGGATGCTCCATCTTAATCCCATCTCTGTAAAAGAGAGGGGCTATCTGATGTGTGTGATTATTATACCTAGATATCTATGGAGTTAAACTGGCCTAAAGTATGCATGTAAAATGCAGGAAAGGAAATCTTTACAATGTGCAGTGTAAAATTCACCAAGAAATAAATGGTTATTACTAAAATGTAATGCAAAATTGTTAGAAAAAAATTTGTATTGCTTACAATTGGGGATGTCCACTTTGAAACAGAACAAAGAATTAAAAAAAGAAATGTATTTTGAAAGTAATTTTTGGAGATTAGCAAGCACTCTGCACGCAAAATAAGCTCTCTATCATCTCCCAAAAGTTTAAAGCTCGAGTGTGTTCTCCTTCATAATTGAAAAACGCTTTTCATTCAGTGCCTGTTGCCTATTCAGTGGCGTCCTCAAAGAAATCATATGCGAATCATTTGCAACTAATGTTATAGCAAGTTACGTAAACATAACTTGACTGTTTGTGATGTTTAAAAAAGTTCTTAGGTGCGTGCTGAGGCAAGAATTTGGTTTTACTAAATGTCCTGCTTTATTTGATGTGAGATAGCAGGGCATGAGTGATCACTGGTATTAAGAAAGAGTTGCCATCACGAGAATGTTTGGAAAGTCGGTTTGAATGTTGTACACCAAAGCCTTATGAACCTAAAGTTTTGGGTGTCACCTCTCACATTAATCTTGGCTTTAATGAAACTATTCATAAAGGGTTTACATAAGGGAGGTGACTATTTTCAGGGAATATGTAGAAATTCCCATACTATCTGAAGCAAAAATTAAAGAAGCTTCTGAAATGGTCGTGATGAAAATTGATGTCAGATGCTGAGGAGAAAGCAGATATCTTTCTTGTAGTTTGTTGGTAAAATTCTTGGTAAAAACAAGGATCCCAAGGCCTGACTCTTTTAACACCACTTCACATTTGCGCCGATAATGTGGGCATGCAAAGGCGCTCGGCGGATGCACAATTCATTTCGACTGCATTTGAACATGTCTGGGGCGTGCTTCTCAAGCGACTGATGTGAGTCAGGCAAGCAGCAACAATTGATCCTTGCACTTGTGGCCAACGTCAAAAAAGTTCTCAGCTAGCCCAATGCTAACAAAGCAGTCACATGATGTTCCATAGCAAGTGGCGAGAGAACTGTCAAATCTGCTTACACGCTGATAGAATTGCAACTTTGGGGCTTCTTTTCGGGGATTGAGGGGTGAATATGCCAACAATAATATCCAAATATGCCTAAAATATTGCAATTAAGATAATATATGCAAATTAAAAATAGCTTAAATTGATTCTAAATGCTTCATAATGTTACACAATTTTTTGTGAAACGGGAATGTTTACTTAACAGAAAAAAATATGCAAAAGCATAAAATCACAGGCTCTATTTTATTATTAAATGTAGTGGGTAATATGATCGTCAACAAACTGAGTACATACATGTTTATGAAAGATGAAAGATTTGAGAACACGGAAGCAAACTTCAGATAATAGTTTTGATGCACAACATATTTATCAAGACACAATACGGACTGACTGATATGGTCACACAAAGTGTGTGATAAATAACAGTTCCTTAAAAGGTTTATACTTTCTTAGGGGACCAACATTTTGTGTTTGGACTGAAAACTTTATGAAATTATATTTAACATATGGATGTTTAATGTAGTATTATTTTTAGTAAAATGGAATCTTTAAGTATTGATTTTTTTCCTCCTCGAGATGTATTTATTAAAAATTACTTGATACTGTAGAGAAAGTTGAGATCTTCTGAAGGTAATCAATTTCTGTTTCTTCAGTGTAATGAATATTTCAACTAAAGAGTAAGTTAAAGCAGCGACCTCAAGCGTTACAATACTGTGAGTTAAGAGAGTAGCAAGTGCTGGGCTTGGAATTGCGACCCCAATCATGCTATGCAAACTGCTGAACGTTCTTATACTCAAGGAAATTTATCAGTTTACCCACGAACTGAAACTACTCCACTATCCAGAGAATTTTGCCTGACGTTAAAGTAAAAAGTTAGTGATTAATGAGTCTCTCTTGAATTTTTTGTAATTTCTATACAAATGTCCTTCCTTTGGAAAGTGTTGCAATGCATATCTATTTAATTGTTGTTTTAGTCACTATTTTAAATCATGGGACAACCACAAAAGGCTTAACTGCCCAAAACTTACATATAATTGTTATTCCACTTTGTGTTATTTATTCTTTATGACGCTTCGGAGACTGTTCTTCTCCCTCATCAGTAAAACTGAAATTTAATTATAAAAATATTTCATTGTAACCCATTTATGATATTCTGAGTTTTTATATTTAATGTTCTATATTACATCTTTTATTCTGTTGGGTGTCTACACTAAAAATATTGAAACCGATCAAATTTATTGAATGACTTAGGTTAATCTTCGTTGGATATTGAATTTCCCTATTTTTGTAATCTCCTTATATGTTTTGCTGTATCCAATTATTCTTTGTTGAATTGGTTCTCTTCTTTGGCCAATATGATTCAACTTACAATCAGTACAGTAACTGCATACCTGTATCTATTATATGTATTCTATCTTTAACATTTTCTTATAGTTCTGTTCCTTAATTATTGTACTTGATTTTAACTGTTGTTGTAACGATACAGTCAGTGCTTTTACAAAATGGAATAATTATTGTGGGAGGAT